ATTTCTGATGGCTTTCATGTTGCCCATAAATCCAACCCCACTTCCTCTTTAGTGAGGTGGGGTTTGTCATCATCAGTTGGGAGCAAACTGAGGCCATGAGAGACCACTGGTGCCTAAACAAACACGGGCCGTGGTTAAGTTCAAGGGCCACATTCCGAGCTCTTAGCTGAGGAAATAGCTGTGGCCTTGTCTGCAAAGGAAAGTTTTTACTAGTTGTTGTCTAAGCCCCAAGTGGAGGCTTTTTTCCTTTTTTTTTTTCCCAATGAGTGGCTGTTTCTGGTTAGCTTAAACATTTGCCCAAATTCCACAAGGTAAAAAAGAAGCATATTTAGTCCTGTGTAAGATGTTTTAAGTGTTTAAGCCAATGCATCAGATTGATTCAATCATTGGGCAAGTTCAGAAGCCAACCCAGCTTACAGATTTGATCTGTAAAAGTAAACATCCAGCTATGCAGGACATCCCTGGCCATTCAGACAACAGCTGAGAGCCCGTCATCTCATTGCTGTGGACCAAATGGAACTTTTCCAAATATTCCATCTGAGGTGTAGTTGCTTCCCCAAATGCCACAGTTAGTGACAATGTGCAAACTGCTTTTAAAATTCTAAAATGTAACTTTTTACAAGACATTTTATTTCTGTTGCCTTTTTCAGTGTTGTGTGCGTAACTCTTATTGTGAATTTCCACATCTTTTAACAAATTCCCTGTGTTTAAAAGCTCAGTGGTTTCAATGCAGAGTGAAGCATTTAATGATCTTACATAATTAGTTTAGAAGCTGGGGCCACACTGATGAGGGGTGACCTTCCCCTTGACTGACTGTTCTTGTCTTGCTGTTTCAGTTGTGTCATATTGGGCAACTTCAGGGACCAAAACTGAAATGTGTGTGAGAATGTAAAGGAAGTTAAATCATTGCTCACCTAATGTTTACTGTGTGTCTTGTTGCAGTGACATCTCCAGAGAGCTCCAGAGCTGCCAAGGAGATTTTAAGTTTTGCTTAATGTAAGTCAGCAGTAGGAGCCAAGAGGGAAGATCTACATCGAAATAGCAGCAATCATTCCCTGGTGAGTAAAGTTTAAGGAACAAGATGATCTTTAGCCCAAGAATCAACAGCTCCTAGTGATTCTCCTCCTTCCAATGTCAGTAGGAAAGAATGAAGCAATTTACAGAGTAGCATAGGGGGTAGTAACTCCTGAAATTGGACAGCTGACACCAGTCAGAAAGGGGGATGTAAAGTTGCAATATGTATGCTTGGACTTGGATAGTTGAGCCAAGATTGTAGTATAGTCACTAAATGAATCTCTTAAAATAAGCCTGTCATGTATTCTTACCCACTAGGTTATATGGCTGAAAGAACTTACCTGCTTTATTCAAGAACAGATTACCTGCTGTTATATCTTTTTGATTCAGATGATTCCTTTTTCAACACTGTATTTATGCTGTAGGAGCCAGATCAAATTTTATTCTACTAACATTGCAGTTTGGCACTATTGAACCTTAACTTTCTTTAACAACACCCCCAATGTAGCAAAATGCAGTGGTATTCTTCTGTCTGCTGTATTTTTGTTCCCTATATTTTTTTTTTGGCTGATTTATCTTTCAAATGATAAATAGAAAAAAAATTAGGCCAAACAGTCTTGGTCCTGCCATATTTGATAGTTTTCAGTCTGGTTCAGCCAGTTGTCCGTTCTGCAGAATTACTATAATCTTTGCAAAATACTCTATCAGATTGTGAAAACCTTTCAAGACTGCTATTATTAAATTTAGGTTCCCTAAGTATAACCTGTGGATATGCAACTAAGGAGATCTCTGGCTTGCTTGCTTTCCCTGGCTTTAATTACCACCTTTGCAATTTCATATCTTGTTTGCCCCCTACCTCTTATTTTGCTTTATAGTTGGAACTTTCCTCTGAGGTTTGAAACTCTATTTATTGCTGTATCATGTCCACTTTCCCATAAAATCTCAAGCTGGGTACACTTCTCAGAAGTATTGAGATACACAGTCACATACATATATATTTCAGTCATTCATCCTTAAAATTTCCTGTCAAAGCTATTCTTCTGCTGTTGGAACTCTGTTCTCATGTTTCCCTTTGTTCTGTTGGAGTTGCTAAGATTTCCCATTGAAATTTATTTTTCTCTTTTGTGCAGATTCACTGTGTCCTGTCTCCCACAGTGTGGATGGCTTACAATGGAGACGATGGCAACCTGGCAGTGATACAGGAGCACATTACTTGCAGCTGTAGTGAGATTTCACCCAGCATTCTGATGCAGAGTACTTTGCACTTCCAAATTAATCATGCTCCTCTCTGTTCTTGTTGCTTGGGTAAATATTTCACTCTTGTGTAGACTTTGATGGTGATCTGTGTGAGAACCAAGGTTCTTCATTTCCTTTTTGTGCATGCTTACCTACCAAGCAAGTTTTGGAGCCCAATGCCTTTTTCACACTTGGTAAAATGAGTCTGTTTCCATCATGTAGCATTGCTTCTTTGTAAATCTGAATACAAGTAAAGAAATACATGTCTATTGCCAAATGTTCTGGCTGAATGCCATCCCTGGTGTTCTGGCTTCATCCAGATGACGAATGTTCCCTGTCAGCCTGCAGCCTAGTGAGAGGGGACAATGGTACAGAAATACTGTAATTATCTAATCAACTTTGCTTAGAATGTTAAGCAAATCCAATTCTTTAATACTCTGGCTTTACTATAGCTGTTAATTACCATGTGCAAATGCAATTTGTACAGCAAAACCGAGTAGAGGAAACATTCACTTGTAAGTTACTTTACTCCCCTCTAGTGGTCTCACACCACACGTACGTTTATGTAACACTTCATCACCATACGTTTAAGGACAGTGTTAGTATTCCGTAAAACCCAAAAGTCTTCTGGTAACTTCTCCTTCCTTCTGCTCCTCTTCTCTTTCTGTAGAGAAATCTCTCAGGGATTGGGGTTTTTGCCAGTGAAGCTCTCTAAGTGAAATTTTCTTTATATGTTGAATTTAATTGAGAGCCAAACTGTACCCTCAGCTTTAAAATCCGTATGTGCAGAAAAATCTCAACGCTATGTAGTAAATGTTTATTTTCTGTGCCCTCAAAGGTTTTTGCAGGGGATGTTGGTGTCAATGTCATAGGACTTAAACTGCAGCCAGGGTTGTAGAAACACCAGCAGAACCCAGTCCTAACTGCAGTGCTGCTCTGTGTGTGTTCTGTGGCACGTGCCAGGTTTTGGTGCGTGTCTAACAGTCTTTGGGCCTGTGGGAGCTGTGGGACATAAGGAGCCTGTCAGATGAGTGGGTTCCTCCTTTAAACTTGCCAGTTGGCCGTTTTGTGTACTATGCAGCTTTCACGAGATGGAAAACAGGCAAGAACCTACAGGATCAGAATGAAAACTTTCTTTTCCTCTATTTCCTTGGTTCGTTGTTCAAGTTACTGATGTTGTAATCCAGGTGTGCAGCACAAACTACATTTAGCAATAGTTAATGGGTAAGTTCTTGTCTCTTTCTTTGTTTCCTGGAATTGCATTTTAAACATAAATTACTTGTTAATGTCCTTGGAGAAGATAGGGTAACTAGTAAGATACTTATCATCTGTTTCTGCTTAGACAGAGGGTATAAAAAAAAGGTAGATAGAGGATTCACTTTTCAGAAGTTAGTTGTTCTTTTCAAACTTCCCACTAGAGGCATTTCCATTTTCTTCTAGAATGCTTTGGACTAATATTTTGAAGAAAATAAAGGGAACTAAAAAGAGTATAAAGTCAATGAAGAAAACATTGACAAATTTCCGTTTGAGAAAATACAGCTCTTCTAAATACTTCACAGAATTGTGTTTGTCTTCAAATTTAGTTATGGGAGAAAAAATGGAAACATTCCAAGAATGAAAACATTTTAACACTCTTTGACTGGAACCTTTTGTTTTAAAATGAGTCTTGGTTTGTACACTTTTGCAGCTCTAAAAAGTCAAAATTGAAACAAAACAGTTTAGTAGATCCAAATCCAGCCTTTTTTCCCCACGTGATTTTTCTTTTGTGGAAAATTTAAGTATCTCAGTTTCATTCCAAACTGGAAGAAAACCAATTGTGAAAAGTAAAATCCTTCATAAAACGTAACTCCTGTCTTCCTGCAGTGCTCTTACAAGAGATTATTTGTGTGTGTCAGCGATGCATGCTACAATAACCAATAGCTGGAGAAACTATTTCCTACACTTCTCAAGATTGTTCCCTTTAGGTCATTAGCAGATAGTTCTAATAAACATGAGCTGAGCCAGTAGAGGCTTTGACTCTATTTATCATTGCGGATGTCTGAGCAGTCCCTGGGGGAAGCTGTGACCAATTCATCAGCCAGGGAGTTTAACTTGTTCTTAACTCTTCTCTTGAACAGCACTGTCAGCAGTCAAACTTAAATCAAAATCGTTCCCATGTACGCATGTAGGAAGCAGGTAAGACTTGCAATGTTGAAATAAAATCATCTGTATAGCTGTAAAAAGCACAAGGCAGGCAGCTGGTGCAGCAGTTGCTGTGCTCAGTGAGTGGCAGGCCCTGCCTTGGGGGAGTGTGAGCCTGAGCAGGGCAGAGTCTGCTCTGCTCGGGCCCCCTGGGTGATACCTGGCAGTTCTGCAGGTGGGCCAACCCAGCGCTGCTGCTCCAGCACTGCAGTGCAGGCACTGGGGCTGGGCTAACACACGTTTCCCTGCCTCCTTTGTGGTATTGCTCTTATTCTTTGTGGGTTGCATTTATTAGCTCTCTGCATCCAGTCTGTGTAGTAGTCCCATAACCTTGCAATTCCAGGCATATGCTCCAGTACCTTCCTCCAAGGAGCAGATGTAGTTATTTAAGAGCTTAACACAGCTTCACACGTGAGTCAAAGTAGGACTGCAGGGTTCTTGTGCTTAGGAGAACAGGGAAATGGGCCAGTATGAAAATACAAATTCAGTGGCTGTGGGTTTCTGAAACAGAAAATCTATTGAAACACTATGCCCTGTAGAAGTATCAGAGAGGAGTGATTGAATAGATTCCTTTGAATCATCTAGAGCCAGGTGCCCAGGATTTGGAATGTCTCCAATGATGGAGGCCCCACAACCTCTATGGCACAACCTGTTCCAGTGCTCAGTCACCTCCACAAATCTCTGAGTATAACTGATAAATACTTGCTAAAATCCCTAATAATGAGACATGTTCTGCCACCTTATAATTATTGTCTTCTCTTTTGGTAGTTAGAGAAGAATGAGACTGTTGATGAGGAAAACAGGTCTAAAATGGCTGTGTAAAAGGCCCTATCCAAAAGCTGCAAGATCTTGTTATGGCAAATGAAGTTCTGGAGTAACCCAAGAGATGGGCTACTTGCTGCATGTATTTCTGCCTTGCTGTCCAAATGTCTTTCCAGTGCTGCTGCACCTTGCCTAGACCTGGTGTCAAAGGCAGTGGCCAGTTGTCTGGAGCTTGTTTTCTGTTCTATTCATACACTGCAATAGGCCAGTCTTACTTGGGCTTTCTGAGAGCTTCTGGAGCATAAACAATCTTATAAATTAAATCACCACACTGTCTGCTGAATGCTTTCACTGTCTGCAGAAGTGCTGGGAACTCTGGAACATATTTTGCTGATCATCTGAAGAACAGCAACTTCTCCACCTGGCAGCTGTCAGATGTTCTTGACACACAGCTGTCTGCTGGTAGCTCAGGAGCAGGGCTGAACAGTGCAGATTCCAGTGGGTTTATAGTTGGGATTTGCAGATTAATACTCTGTTGTACTCTGCAGCCTCTTCCTGGGCTACATCCCACCTTCATTCTTCATGAATGGAAGAAATTCTTCATGTTTTCTTTCTAGTCTGGTCCTTCACAGTAAACAGAATTTAGTTCCAAATGTTTTAGAAGAGCTGTCTTATCCAGCATGGGATTTGAATAAGCACAGGGCTAACATTTCCCATATGGTGAGTGTAGCCAATGGCATAATTGGTAATACTCAATTTAAAATATTTAAGCTTTATTCTTTCCTTTTCTTTATTTTTTACTTGCAAGTGATATTACATAGTTTTTGACTGCAGGAAGGGGAAGGACTTGTGAAACAAACCTGTCAAAGCAGGGTAAGTAGCCACCAGGGTTGCCTAAGTCAACTGCCCTTAAAATAGAGTTTGTAATGGGGGGAAAGGTGGAAACCAAACAAAAACAAAACCACAGAAAATAATAGATTTCAAATGCTAAGCTGCCTGAGAAGAAACAATTTCTTCAGGATTCCATGGGGAATGACTATTGTTGGCACATGCATAACAGTGATCTGCTGAACTGATACAATGGTACAGTTGTTTTTATAGTACATTTAGCTCTGAATTTGACACTCTTGAACATGTGTATTAGAGCATAATACATATGTGAATTCTGAAGACTTATGTTTTACAAGTTTGAGTAAATTCAAAAAGCAGTTATTTCTTGGTTTGGAGTAAACTTTTGGAATTTCACTTTGTATTTTCACTGTGCAGGACTCTGAATATTTAGTCAGCAAGACTGCACAAGCTTTTTGTTGTTAGGTTACTGTGACAAAACCCCAAGTAGATAAAGAGCCTCATGTACAGACCAATGAATGCAGAGGATTGCATACTTTGAACAGAGGGAAAGAATTTGTAGCGTACTGTATGGAAGGAATTGTTTGCAGTTCTCCATAAAGCTTTCAAATCCCATGTAATAGGCTCTTTTCAGAAATTTCACTGCTCTAGCGTAGCTTAACTGATGGAATTGCATTCACCACACTGAAGTCAGGGCATGCTCTGAACTCCACTGAAATATGTGGAGGGGAAAAAAAATCTTGGGCTTGGACTAGGCTTGTAGTGCCAAGGGAAGCTTCTCCAGATCATTGCAGTGCAGGGAAACTCTGTTTTCCCAATAGTTTATCATAAAATGTGTCCAGACTGGAGCCTCTGAAAGATTTCCTTATCTTGAAAAGGCACCATGAATCTCCTCATTTGCATCATCTACTTTTCAGCCATAAAATGACACTTCCTTCCTTTTACTGATGAACAGCAGTCAGAAAAGTCAGCCTGGGTACATATCCATATATCTACAGATAGATAGCTATAGATGTCCTTTCTTCCAAGCTCCTGTCAAGTATTTTTCCTTGGCTCTCCCTCATGTGTTTCAAGTGACATTTACTCTGCTGACTCTGTGCCTGTTCGACCTCTATTCTTATTTGTCTGAAGTTATTTGGTATTTTTCTTGGTATTGAAAGGAGTTAATGAAGCTAGAAAAAGTGTTCAACATCTTTATTTCAAATTTGTAAAATGTCAAAACCTGACTCTTTAAAAAAGAAATGTAGCAACTCAATCTCTTCTGAACTCCACCCCATTCATCACAGTAATAGCAATTTTGGGTGGACCTGGTGTTGATAATTTGTAAACCATTAGGGACATTCTAGAGGCAGTAATTCTGTATTTAAAAAAAAAGCTGAAAAGATTTTTTTTATTGTTGTAATTTCTTTACTCTTTTAAACATAATCTGAATAATTTGTACTAGAAACTAGTAAAAGCTACGCTCATTTCAAGTGTTCTAAGGAATAGATTTTAACTCTATCCCTGTATCTTAATTTTCTGTAGGAGAGAAAAAATGGTTTTCAACCTCCAAAAAGCATAAGGAGCGTTCTTGCTGTCCCTTCTCATTCCCACTTTGAACCACAGTATGTGAAATCTATTGCAACTTCCTCCTCAGAGAGATTCTTTTACTTAATTTGGCTACTGGTAAAATGAACGTATTTTTAAATTAACTGCAATTTTTATTTCGTGTTTCCTTATAAGTAAAGGCAATCTGATTTTATCCTAAAAAATAGCTTTAGAGCATCTATATACTGCAAATCAATCAGTTTGCCATGAGTTGAGCCAATGCATAAATGAGAAGGGGCTAAAAATGAAACAGAATCCTCTGAGTTAATAGGAAGTTTCATATTGATGTCTGTGGGCTATATTTATCCAAGTAACTGTACTGGAAGAGTACAATGCAGTGTATTAAAGATGTATGTATTGATAAATGGACCATGTTCTCTCTAGTGTGATGTACAAAGGCCTTGCATCAGATGGACAATTTCTGGCAATGAAGGCTGGCTGCTGAACCTTGTGAACCTAATAAAATAACACCCCAGTGATCCTCAGTAAGTAAATTTTAATACTTTCAACAGACAAAGTGGGAGGGAAATCCCCAAGTGATTTTATACCTGGTGAGAAATCACATATTAGATGAGGTTGTCTCAGTTTACTGGTATCTAGAAAACCTGAGGAAATGAAGTCAGCGTTTTGCAAGTTACTGAATAAAGGAAAGTGCAGCTCAGAGCTGTTCTGAACTCTTTACTGGCCAGAGACTCATCCCTGTCCTCCGTGAGTCAGCGGCGCTCTCGCAGCGGAGGCGGCCAACTGCCCATGGGCCGTGTTACAGGAGTGCAGGGAAGGGATTTTTACCTCTCCTGGTACTTTAGAAACTGCATCTGCAGTACTGGATCCAACTCTGGGCACCCTGGCTCAGAAAAACCACACTCTTCCCTAAACACAAAAGCCACTGACAGCTGGAGCAAGCCTGGCAGAGGACACCAACATGGTGAGGGACTAAGCAAATGCTCTCTGAGCAGAGGGTTCATCCAAACTTAGCAGACATAGGTTAGAGAGGATCTTCCTAGTGTCTTTGAGGTATAGAGGAGATAGAGCCTGGCTCTGGTGGGTGTTGAGCAGTGGTAGGATGAAGAACAGGCACCAATTCTGGGGAAGGGAAATTCCTACTAAGTGTTAAGAAAAATGTGTCACAGCAAGGGTTGTGAAACAATGGAGTAGGTTACTCCAGAAAAGTGGGGTGTCTATCCTTGGAGATACTCAGAACTCATCTGGATAGAGCCTGAGAAGCTCATTCTTAAATTGGTCCTGCTCAGAACAGGGAACTGAACTGAAGGACTTTCACAAGTTCCTATTTAAACTCATCACTGATTCTATCAGAGCTGTATGCAATGTTCTCATAGTGTTATTTCTCAAAGGAAGGGCCTTGCAAATGGAATGTGGTGGGTTTAGAGTCTAATCCCTGGTCTCCTATTACCTATTTTATTATTTTAGCTGCATAATGGGGCAACTCCCTATCAAGTGAGACATCACATAGCCAGAGGAACACTGGGATGGAAAACAGGCAGAGACACCCAATCCCTTGCTGACAGTGTTTGAAGGAATGTAGGGCCTGATTCAGCTGTCTTTGTTGGAGTCAGTAGGGAGTTCTGCATAAATCAGTTTAAAGAAGAGGTTCTTGGTTACTGATTTCCACCCACTTGGAATGTATTAATTTGGATAAAAAGCTCTATCCATTTTGCTCAGTGTTTTAGCCTGAAAATTCACCCAACAGTTGGCATTTTATGCTAAGCCATGAAAGCTCTTTCACTTTGCTTCTGAATTTACAGGTGGAATTTAAGAGGTCATTGGGGACAAATGTAAGACTGAGGAAGCTTGGCTTGCAAATGTTACTGTGGCAAAATTCCCATTAAATTTGACAGGATTATTACCTGACAGAAAGTAGTAGTATATATATTTACTTTTCTTGCACTAGAGCTGGATTAAAATTCTTATTTTGAAATCAAAGAAGCAATTGCTATTGTTAAGATAGGTTTTCTAGCAATACACATAGAATAAAATACATCACTTCATGCATATTAGATTTGGATTAAAAGTAAAATTCCACTGTATTTTAGTTATATTTTTATTCAACACTAGTCTTACAAAGATAGGTTGTGCTTTCCCTACCTGGAAGATAGAATGAAAGTATTTGGATTTCTTCTGATTTAATTATTTTCTTTAGGACCCCCTAAAGAAAAGAATGGATAATGGATCTGATAATGGATTTGCCTTCAGCAAATGGAGACATAGGATAAGTTTCACCCTTACAGGGTAAGAATTCATTTAAAATGAGATCTAGCTTTACAAACAAAACCAACTATGAATGGCGTAGAGAATCTTCCTATACAAATACTGAGAAGGGAATGTCTGAATTAGGGTCTCTCTTGAGTTTCCTTGTACTTTCTTTGTCACTGATACTGAGGAATCCAGGTGCTTTGGAGGAAAAAGAGCATATGTTTCATTCAGATCTTAGTAAAGAGAAATATATGGGGTTTGGTGGGGTGATATAAAAATTTGCTTTCTTGTAAATTAAAGAAATTATATTGTTTAGGACAACATAAGATCTGTTAAACTGTTATCTGTGTTAAACTGTTCCATAGAGGCATAAATAGGATAGATGTGTTCTGAATATAATAAAATCTAATAGGTTTATGCTCACTTAGGATACAACTGAGATAAAATATTGAAATTTCTGCGGAAGTGCATAGGCCCCTAATGTCTAAGCCAAGAAAAAACTTCTTTTATTTCCTCTCATAGTTCTTTTATTACAGAAATATTACAACAACACTTAGCACAGTATCACAAATTATGGAATTATATTAATGTAGGTTGGATTTCCTTATCCATCACTGTAAACTCTGCTGACAGACAAAAACTTCAATTAAGCCATTTGTAAAAATGAAGTAGAAATCTTGGATGAAATATGTCCCCTAATCTATTAATAATGGATTCCATAGCTACTTATCACAGCTTGTCTGACCAAACAACATTAAGGAAAATTGATGTATTTTGAGTTGCCTATTTTTTAATTTTATTTTTTTAGATTTAAACCAGTTAATTGGTTGTCTGGATGTAATTACTGTTTGTGCTTCTAACGTACTTAAAAAAATACACACACTAAAACTTTCCCACACTATTTGTTTTCATTGGCATAATAAGGCCCCTCTTAATAAAGAAATATGTAAGATGGACATACTTTTTTTGCTCACTTGGGTTAAATTTACAGATTAAAAAAAATGCAATTATTGCAAAAGTTCATACAATTTGAAAAAAAGAAAAACTTTTTTCAATGAGCTCCCAACTTATCATAGTACTTCTAGTGATAAGATTTTTTTTATTTTAACAGTTCAAAAAAGTTTGCCTGAAATATGACTATTCTGCTAACCATCCTTCAGGAGGAGAGGAAGGAGTGTTTGAGTAAGATGAAGAGGTCTGGCCGGCCAAAGGCCAGAACAGAGGGAGGCCAGTAGTTTGCATCTCTGCTGCTGAGCACGAAGCTCACCAGCACTGAAAATTTCAGTTCAGTATTTTTTATGTAAACCAAACAGCAGGACAAGTAAGTATATCTCTGAGGATCAGTTACACGTTAATAATTTGGGCACTGTGTAAAATTATTTATGTATGTGATGGTGATAAGCACAGGGAGGTACACTAAGGCATGGTTAGCAACTAGGATGTCTTACTAGAGGAATATACTGGCCTTGATTTAAAGTGTGTGTAAAGTTTTGTAAATATTTAGGGTTAGTGTCTCCCAGGTGATAGCCAACAGTAAAGTGTGGGTTTTGTCTTTTCTATCATTCCTACTTATAATCAATTTACCTGTAATTATCCTGCCCAGATTTAAGGCTCTGCCACCACAATCCATGCCACCTAGACCCTGCAAAATACACGTATAAGATCCTCAAAATCACTTGGAAGAATTGAGCATTGTGGAAAAATAGTTGCTTAAATGTTATGGAAAATTCTGCTGTGCATGTAGCAATGATGTTATATGTCTTGTTTTGATGTCTTTTATTTTTGGATTTGATTCCATGGTTTGATCAAATATCACTGAGTTTCTGGATCTGGGTTAATCTGAGAGTTCATCTTTCTGTTTGTCACAGGAAATGGTGATCAACTGGATCATCAGGATTGCTTCTTAGTTGCTTTGGTTTTTTTTCCCTTAAGTGAAACTTCAAGTGGCTGACAAGTGTTTTGGAGACCATATAGAAATCTGTTTGTCTAGATGTTCTTCAGAGTCCAAATGTTTGCAGAAACTCAAGTGGCTGTGGGAAAGAGTGTGGGTGACCCTTATTAGTAGGGTCTGCTCTGTTCAGCAGCAGAGAGCAGAAGTTAAGTCTTTGGCTTGTGATAAATTTTTCTAATGGTTTGAGAACCAGGTGGGCACCATTTTATAGTTGTCAGCAATGTAAATACTTCTAATGTATAAGCATATTCTTTAAAATGACACACCAGAAGTTGATGATGTGCTGCATGTTTCACTAGATTAATGAACTTCCAGCCCACATATCATGTAACATTACTTCATATAGTGTAATCCACATTTCTGCAACCATGCAAGATACCAAAAAATACATCATAAAATGTGCTAGAAGATATGAGACAGTCACCCCATTAGCCTGTGACACAGACTAGATATTTTTCTAGTAGCTCATCCACAAAATTTAAGTGGTTGAAACAGAAAATGTTGAAACCAAAAGAATGTTGGACTAAATAGCAACCAGGAATTCCTCTCATAACTCACTTTTGTTTACTGGTAAATTCTATCTTCACATTATGAACACAATTAGTAAATATCTAGTGACATTTTTGCAGGCTCGGTTTAACTTCTATATTAACTGAGTAAAACGCTTAGATTTTGATGTAGGCATAGATGATAGTGAAGGAAGATAACTGTATATCAATGTACTGCTTGTGTTGAATTTCTTAATACAAGAGATAATTATTACCACCTTTATCCTCAGCTCTTTTTGGTTTTGAGCAAAATTTAATTTGACTCTGCAAAAGAATACAAAATTCCTTAGGCAATGCTATATTGTCTCTTCAACAAGCATAGCCATAAAAAAATCTTAATCTTGTATGCTTGTATGTGTCAGACAAAAACTTTGAAAAATCAAATTCCTATTTATCCAACTAAATTGTAACAGAAAAAGCAATGTTTCTCATTAATCACAACCCCTAACTTCTACTTCTGTGGTGCAAACTGCAAATCAGTAATACTTTGCTTGCAGAATTGAAAATTAGTTCATTTTGTACAAGTTACAAAATAGTGGTATAAAGTGTGAGCTGCTACTGTCTTGAGCCTTGCTCAGACACATTGAGGTGGCACACTGTGTGCCCCATTACTTCTTTCTTGGGCCAGTATCTCATTGTATTTTACATGTACATTTTACCTTATACTCTCTATCTGAAAGTCTTTACCCTGTTAAACAGTCACATTGAAATGGTCACAATCAAATGGCTGTTTTGTAATTTGAAGAATCCAACACTTTTCTTGATTATAAAAATCAGCCAAAATTATTAGAAAGCTGCTATTGTGGTTAGTATATAGTTTAAATACGTCTATATATGTTTAGAAGGAAAATCCATATTTATATATGTAATATATAAACTACTGTAAACTGATTCAAACTGTATATTTCAACTAGCATCTGTCATATCTTCTTGTCACCATTACAATTCAGCTGTAAACAGATTGGTACTAGGAAATCTCACACACTATTTCTCTTTTTCTGATACTGTTTTAGTGGCAGAATACACCATGCATTTATCTGAGTAGGGTGGTTTGGCAGCTGCTGTGCCTTGTCAGCTGCTTGCTTATGAAATAAGCAAATAAGCTGCAATGCAGCTGAGGATTTGCAACATCAATGCAATAATACAGATCCACTAACTATCAGTACCTACCTGGAACTAACAAAAAGGGAAAATACTTGAAATTTAGGAAATCCAACATTTCTGCCGAAATATTTATATGTGAGTAACAGCAGACTGCATAAGTATAATTTACTTTCAGTCTCGTTTGTTTGTTTGTTTGGTTTGGTTTTTGTATTTCCTGTCTATGTTGAAATGGGATAATCCTGGTACAGAGGGTTACTTGATAGGAGCGTATAGAATCTGGGCTTAAACTGTGTTAACTGTGTTGTGTTCCCTGCTCAATTATTTCAGTATAAAACCTTTCTACCTTTCAGGTGTTGGTAGTTCAGGTTTGCTCTTTTTGATTTAAACCATAAATAAAAACTGCAGGGCTTTCTTTCCTTGAGTAGGATGAGGCAGGCATTTGTTCTGGACCTGGCTGTGGAGATTTAGGAGTAGTTTGGTGCCTTGGTGTCTGTGCCATGTTAGTTGCTAGAAAGCGCATTATTCATTCTGCAGCAGCCTCTCCGGTAAAGCCACCATCGATGCTATTTTTCCTTATAAGGGAAACATACCTTTATGTTATTTTTCATAAGCTATAGATGCAAAATGCTGTACCCCTAGGAAGTAGATACTTCTCCATCTACAGATCTATATGCATTTAGATGGAAGCAGAGGCGTGCACTACCTTCGGTTCCCCCACTCCTGTCTTGGCTCAGTTCTAAGGCTACCCCAGGCGCTGAAGCCTCTGCCGCCGTGTGAGCCGGGGACCCGCGGGGTAACCCGAGCTGGCAGCGCTGCCTGGCTGCAGCTGCCTCCGGAGCGGAGGGAGCGGCAGCGCCGCGTCCTCCCGAGCAGCACTGCACTCTTCCCGCGGCTCCCGGGGAGCCTCTCGGGGCCGAGCATCCCGCCAGCCCCGGGCCGGCCGCAGGTGACCCACGGCACGGGGGGCCCGGAGCCGCCCGGGCAGCGCCGGGAGCCCCGGGCCGGCGGCTCGGGGGTGGGGGGAACATTTTTATTCCCCTCTCTCTCGCGAGAAAGGGTTGGGCGGGCGATACTTGAAGAGGAGGGAGGGGGGGAGAGGAGGGGAAAAGGAGGAGGAGGAGGGAGGGGGCAGCTGGAACCGCAGCTGGATTAGCGGCGGGTGCAGCGGCCGCAGCTGGAACAGCAGCGGGAACGGCAGCCGGCGGCGGCGGCTCCAGCGGGTGCGCGCCCCTCGCAGCGGCTGCTCCCGGGGCGGGCGGGCTGGGCGCGGGGCTGCTGCCCGCGGCGCTCCCGCCGCTGCGGCTCTAGCGGTGCCCGGCTCGGGAGCCGGGAGAGTTCGTGCCCGGGGGACGCTTCCAGCCCCGGAGCGGCTTCGGGAGCGGTGGCGGCGGCCGCGGTCTGTCCGCGGCGGGTGCGGGAGCCCCGCGGATGCTGCTGCAGGGGAGGCAGAGCCCTCACGGCCCCGGGCAGCCCCTCGCCGTGCCCCGCGGCCGCCGCCTCTCGCGGGCGCGATAGCGCCGGGCTGGCCGGGGGCCGACGGCGCCGGGGCGCGGGGGCAGGCGGCGGGGGGCGCGGGGTGGCCGGGGCCGCTTTTCCTCGGTCCCTAACTCGCCTTCCTCCTCATTTCTCTCCTCGCAGCTCGCGTCGGAGAGGCTGGTCGGAGACAGGGCGGCGGGGACCGGCAGTCTTCGGCGGCGGAGAGGAGGCAGCGGCCGCTCGCAGCCCGGGGGCTCGGGGGACGCGATGTGGCGGGGGCGGCTGCTGGGGATCGCCCTGGGAGTTGCCGTGCTGTGGGCGTCCCAGGCTGGTGCCGCCGCCGCCGGGCACGCCGAGGGGGTGAGCGCCAAGGAGAGCCGGTCCAGCCGGGCCAAGAGGAGGGGGCACGGCGGCGGGCACGACGCGCTCAAAGGGTAGGTGCGGGGCCGGCCCCGGCCCCTCCCGGGATCTGCCTGCGTGTGTGTGTGTGTGTGTGTGTGTGTGTCCATAGCCAGAGCCCCTTGCCGGTGGGAGCTCTGGGTGTCCGAGAGCTCCCCGAGCCCCCTCGGGGCTGCCCATCCGAGGAGCGGTTTGGGCCGGGGGCCGCGCCTGCAGCACCGCGGGGCAGCGCCACCCTCCCGGCGCCCCCGCCGGACGGGCTGCTGGGCCCTCCGCGACCCGAGCCGTACTGCACCTCTGGGTGGGCGATGCTTCGTGAGGATGAGCCGCAGCAGCGCGGTGGTTGCTAATTTATCTTCTGGGAAGGCCTTAGATAAAGGCACACTACGGGCTTGTGCATTCCTCCTGCATCCCGCGCTTCTGCTTTGCATAAAAGCAGAATAACGGTGATGCCTGGAGCCCACAGCATGCCCATCCCGTCAGCTGCCCTCTCTCATCTCCGCCTTGAGCCTTTTGTGATACCCATCTTGCTCTCATATAGACTATCGAACTATCTAGTTCTAGTATGAGTGAGCCCAAGCATACAAGAGTTTAATTTCTTAAGAAACATTGTGGTACATGCTTAGGAGAGAGGATTTTTTAAAGGCTAAATCTCTGTCAGGCAAACTTTTGCCCATTCTAATGGAACACCTTTCCAATGCAAAAATAGTTGTGAAGTCAGCTCAAAGTAATTGCATGCATTTGCAGTTGAAAATCTAGTTCACTAAAGGTGAAAAGTTTGTAATGAAGTAATAAAAAAGAAGTTTCCTTTCTCAGGTGATCCAGTGTGCCTTTTCAGCACATAGCCTTTTTTTTTCTGTTGTCAGAGGAGAAATGTAACAAAAATTGTATTAAAATAGTTAGGCTTCTGTAAAGGATACAAGCTATTTGCTTATTTTGCCCCCTTTTTCTCAAAAAGGAGCTATTACAACTTTATTGTTAGTGGCCTTGATGAATAAGCCTTTATTTCTTACTAACTTCCTTGTAGTTCTATAGTACTTTTACCTATATTTGGATTTACAATCTTGGCTTTTTTAATGCTTGCCTGATTGAAAAAGGTTTATGTTTTTAGGTTTGCATGCTGCAAAAATGGATGCAAGCTGTCAGCATTATTTTTCATGGATCTGATTTTGTAGGATCAGACTCTTTTATTTTATTTCCTTATACCTTGTCACAAAAGAAATAGTTGGACAAAGCAGATCCAAAGTAGATGTGACAAAATCTAGGAGGTGAGAAAGATGTACAGTAAAGTTTGAGGGACTAATTGCAAGCAATAAAAGATGGTAAGAAAAAACATTTATTAGAAAGTGCCTGTATTCTTTAGGGTGTTTTAATAACCTTTGTTGTTATAGGATTCTGAGATAATATCAAACTGATAAACATAACTTTTTGCTCAGTGGCACAGAATATGCCATCTAGCACACTGTGCTGACTTGGTGGAAGTTAAAGGCATGTTAGCTGAGGATAAAATTTCTTTGGTGTGTGTAACTGTCACTTTAAACTATGCTGTTCAGACACAGTGCATCCATGGATGATATTTCAAGTGTTAATTATTTTTGGAATCTAAAATGGGTTAGGTTAAGTATTTAATCTTATTCATTGATTCTCAGACTTAACAGAAGCCTGCCATCTTTTATGTCCTTTGCAATAATTCTTCCTTTTATTGTATGTTATCTATGCGTTATATATCTGCTTAGTAATCTACAAATCTAGAGATAGTGTAAACATAAATTTTAGTTATTCTGTATCTTGGTCAGTTTTTTGGAATATTATCAATATGAATTAATGCCCCCGGGAAGCATATTTTTAACAAGGAAGCAATAATTTGCCAGATGAAGTGAGAAAAAGACAAAACAAATTATTAGTTTGGTTTCTTGTTAAACCTTTTGTAACCCTGATTCGAGGCTGAATATAGAGTTCCCTAATTGCTTGGAGGACAGTAATTTTGATCATTGTTGGGTGAATCCTGCTGGATATTTCCAGTTTAGAAGTTGTGAGAAGTTTCTTAGGTGTGGTACTGTACTGTACAATGTGAATGAAAAGAATTGTCATTCTAATAGACAAGGTTGGAACAAATTTGGAAGGACAGATGGAAAACATTTTGAATGTATAGGAACTGTATATACATTATTTATTGTAATTGGAGGACTAAAGCACTAAAAATACGATTTTACAAGAAGACATAGTATTTTTTTTAACTTGTTCATCAGTACAAATACATTTGGGAATCTGTTAATTGAAATACAAGTCATAACAGATGCTGGGAAACTTTATTTTCATGTTATTACAGTTGACTAAGACTTTCTTTTCATTTTGAAATGAACTCTTGCTCTGATTGTAAGGCATGTGGGGATACATTTTTAAAGAAAACTGTTTAACACTTCAGTCATTTTGTGTGTTTGATTATAATGACTACTGGAAGTCTTATAGCATTTGAAAATATTGAGGTTATTCTGTGTGTGAATACTGGTCTTGCATGTTAAAATGAAGAAGCTTAAGATCTGTTTCAGTTCTCATGATTTTTCCTACTAAACATTTTTTACTGCAAGCTGTTGACTGCATTTTTTACTGCAAGCTGTTGGCAGGAGATGTTTGCTTTCATCTGTGTGACCTTTGCCTCATTGTTTATGGCAATGAGCTGTCCAAATGTATAATATGATTCTAGAAGCATATTTTAATTTTAATAATTATAAACTACTTGGAAGTGCCTCTTATGTTCTCATTTTAAGACGTTACACTTGCTGCTCATATAGTTTGAATCAATCCTGCTTTGGAGGCATTAAAGGTGAAGTCCTTTAATGCCATCTGTGTTTGGCCTAATTCAATGTATATTTATGTACTGGTGCCTGATGCCTCTAAGTGATCAGAAAGCAATCAGAATAAAGACAGTAATTATTGAAAAAACATAACTAGACTCTGTGGTCATGGAAATGTTGCTGGAATCCATTGTGATTCAGCAAGTTAAAATAAGAAGCTTCTAGTGAGACACTTCTCCAGATTCCCAGAACTTATCACAGATGTTTCTGTATTGAACTATAAGGCATCAAGCCATTATCCTGCTACCCCTTAAGCACCCAAGAATGCAGTGTCAACTTCTGTAAGAAATAAACTCTACAAAGCTGGACATGAACAGGAAGTTCTTTCTAAACAATATATACTTGAAGACAACCATTCCTATGTGTTTCAATCATTTAAATATAAAGCAAAAAATAATTTACTGGTATTTTGATTAGTATTTGTCTGAATACAATAAATATTGTACCCAAAGATCTTAGAATTAATTAAGATTCCTCAATTTCTGATGATGCTAGAAGACTTCAAACACTAATGAGTATCACTCAGTTCTTAGTAACATTTTAAGCAATGTTTGTCTTGTTTATCAGTCTCTTCTCTGTATAATGACCAAAGAAAGCAATGATTTGCTTAACAAATAGCAGGAATTTTGAAAGAACTGAAATTTCTTCAAGATAGCTAAATTCTGACATATTTCTAATTAGGAGACTAAATAAATGTATTTGTGCAAGAATTATTTAATTTCCTTGTTTTTATTAAGTTGAAATGATAGCAAATATTGGAGAACAGAATAGCTGGCTCCAAAAGGATCCATAAAAGTCTTGGATTAAAGCTATTCAACAGGGGATTGAGCTTTTTGGACCAGTTTCGTTTGGGTATCTCAAATGAAGACCACAGGTTTACTGATACACTTCCCTGAGTAAACTTGGTTGGAGTTGGTCCTTTTTATGCATCAGTGCTTCCTGAAATAGAATAATCTTATTAATCTATAACTTAATTCTAGTGTTCAGCTATATAATTAGGGCTTCTGGTTTTCCTTTTAAACCAATCTTTACCACTAAAAGCCTGCTGAAGGAAAGCAGACTTTCTGTACTGGTAAATATTTGTTTATACTGAAAAACCTCAAAGATTTTTCTTGCCACTTGTGGCCTGCACACCTCTGGGCAGCTGCTGGTGCCACACCTTGTCAATGCCACTCTGCAAGTGGGAGACAGACTGAATACTTGGAAATAAAAAACTTAATTAAAAGTACGTGCAGGTTGCTGTAATACCCCATGTGCTGGAGCACTCACCTGGCTTCCAGGTGGCATGGCTGGCCTCCTTCAGTCCTCTGCGCCCGTGGGGTAAAGCTTATATGGAGAATGAAGAGCTTTTATTCCAGCATATCCTAGTGTGGAAACAGTGGAAGTCTTTGGCAACTACATGTAGTGTTAATGTAGTGCACTTCTCTGAATATATTTGCCAATGGTTGTGGTACTGTTCTTTTGCTATTACATGATCCTTGGAAATCTAGTTCTGGAGTGAAATGAGTTCATACATATTGGCACTGTGCCTCATATATGTGTTTCCTCTGTTTTGGTGTGATGTGATTTGATGTAGGTCTGACTTTGTGGAACAGGAGAAAAACAGTAAAAAGTAAATAATCTTCAGGGTTTTGTAGTCCTTGTAGTCTCCGTTTAGATATCCAAACTGTGTTATTTGGACACCATCTTTTTAGAAGGCACAGCCTTAATCTGATTTCTGCTTTATCAGTTTTGGGGAGAGACTTCTAGGCCTGTACAGTTTGTAAGGCAGAATTAGGACTTTATTCATTTTGGGCATGCCAGTGCAACCTGTGGTTAAAACTCTTGGTGAATACTATTGTAGTTTCCCTTTCAGTGGGAGGCTCTGAGGCTCATGTCATTCTGTTTCTGACAGTTTAGCCAGTCTTCCTCTCTGTGATCTTTCTCATATTATATTGTAGCGGGACACAAATAGTTTTGAAGTGCCATGTGCCTCTCCAAAAATACATTAGATAATTACTTTCTTGCCATTTGATGGTAATGGGTGTAAATAGAGCAAGCAGAGGAAAAAGGCTACAATCAACAGTGTAGCAGAATTCTTGAAAGACTGTATGAAACAAGATTGCTTTGGAAATGTTGTTAAATCAGCCCTGGAGACTAAGGTGAAGCAGGTTTCCTGTGACCCACCACCACTGTGCCAA